ACACACACCACTCCAACTTGAGCAATTGCACAAGTACTGTATAAGGTCAATCATGAAAAGACAATAGTTCATGCTTGTTAATAAGAATGATCAAGTAAGTCCTATAGAGAAACAAAATGGAAGCCAGGACAAGAGATAGCAATATAATGCCTTGTGGCCAAGTACTGAAATTTTAAAAAGTAATGAAACAAAGCTTATAAAGGTCAGATTAGAGATACTTATGATGGTTCATCCCTATAATATGGAAAGCATCAGGAAAACATCAAAACCTGAGTATGAGGCTCCAATTGTTGAACATGTTGAAAAACAATCAATTGTCTCCCAGGATTCCCATCATGATTATTTGCAAGTGTAAAAGAGAACAACAACAAAAGGAATACTATAGAATTGGCAAGCTGCATTCATATGTATAAGAAAGACTGAATGTTATTTTTACATCTTGTGAGAAGATAATAATTGAACTTAAATTACAAAAAGGATAAGAATATGTAGAGATGGAAATAAATACAGGGATGCAGAGTCTTAGATTTTTCTTTGAGTTATAAAATATATTCAATGATTGCCATGGACAATGTGGTGCTATTTGATAGGACAGTAAATGTACAAAAAAAAAAAAAAGAACCACCTGATGTCTTTGAGAGCCTACTTCCAGGAGAAATATTATAATAAGAAAGATATTTACGTCTAGTGTGTGAAATTAACAATAGATCTAGAGCTAGCCCAGGCATGGCAGCACATGGCTTTAATCACTACATTCCAGTGACAGGGACAGGCTGATATCTGAGTTCACAGGAAGCTGGTCTACAGAGTGTGTTCCAGGGCTGCACAGAAAAATCCTGCCTTAAAAAAAAACCAAAATAAATAACTATGCAGTTATTGGAAATAAGCAATGCAGTTTCACATATTTAATTTTATTGATTCTTTAATGTAAATAAGTTTTACATTATATTTTACAGAATTTAATCAAAAGAATGTCTAAATATTTTCAACAGATAGCTACACTATGAATATTTTGATTTATCTATGGTTGAATGATAGTCTCTGAAACCAAATGATACAAGGTTTCTTTCTTTTTTAGAAAATTCCACTTAGATGGGAGCAGAAAAACATGGTAGTACACTTGTTCAAAATTTTACTACAAGGACATATTAAGAAAAACAGCATGGTATAGGCACAAAAACAGATGCTTAACCAATGGAATTAATTACATGTCTGAAATGAACCCACACAGTTACAGTGACACATAATTATTGAAATGCTCTCAAAAACAATCATTCTAGAAAAGACAGTCATCAATGAGTATTTCTGAAAAACTATGTCCACATGTAGAAAAAAATGAAAAGAGATGCATATCTCTACCCTAAACAGAAATCGTCCCAAATTTAATCCACATTTAATTTAACTGTACTTTATTTAAGTCCAGATGGAACCATTCAAGATGATACAGGGAACTTTGAGGGAAGAAGGGCATTCTGAACAAATTTGAGTAGAAAATATTCCCCAAAATGGACAAAAGTGATTCAATGCAATTAAAAGATTTTCCACAGAGCAAAGGAAACAATAAGTAGAGGAAAATAAAAATCTTTCCCACCTGTGTATCAGACAGGAGGCTAATCTTTAGATTGTACAAGAGTCTCCATTTGTAGAAGGTAAACACAACATACTGAAAGGACATTTCTTCTATAGTTTTGGTTTTGAGACCAGCCTTTAATGGCTGAGCCATCCCTCCAGCCCGGAATGGGCTTGTCTAAATAAGAAATTTTAAAATGGCTGATAAACATTGTGTCAATGTGCAACATTATTAGTTTTCATAGAAATTCAGTTTCAAACTGTGAGGCTATAACATTTGACACCAGTCAGAACAGTGACATGATTCGATAAAACAACAACAAATACTGCTGAGAATGTGCAGGAACAGGAAGCTTTGAGACTGAAAATGGGATGCCGAACTGGACTCATCCAATGAACATCAATACTGAGGCTTTAAAAAAGTAACACATGGAACTTCCATATAAGTTGGTTCCATATTGTGGATATTTTGAATAGTTCAGTAGCAAACAGAACATTGTAAGTAACTGCAATGTGATGAGTTTGAATTCTTCATATATGTAACCAGTAGAGGTACAGATAGGGCATATGGAATGGCCACTCCTCATCTGCTTCAACCACTACAGGTTCCTAAGAGTAAATTTCATGAGGCTTATTCTTTAACCCGTCATAATACTAATGACTGGCCATGTCCCTCTCACTTCCGCCACAATTTGTTTGTATTTTTTCTGGTCAGTTCTTAGGTGACATTCTTCTTGCATAAAACAATAACCTTATTCATACATTTCTAGCACTGAAAAAGGTTAAGAAAAGTCTCAAACTGTGTGATATTTGGCAAAATCAACTTCTTTTTTCCAGGAAGTACATAGCTAAGGACAAGGCTGAGCCCACATGACCATGTATACCCAGCGTTCTCCTCTGTTCCTCCGCTCACTTTCCCTGTTCAAAGTCTACCAGAGAGTCTACCTGATCAGGACCCCCATCAAGTCCTTCCAATGTTGTATCTGAAAACTCTAGAAAACTAACCTGTCAATAAACAATGGACCATAATCAGAACAGAAAATTGTTTCCTGTTTTTATTTAACTTCATCAATCCTGTGAGAATGTCTCTGGTCTTCATAGAACCAGAGAAGATTACCAAATGCTAATAGACTACACCTTCAGGACACAACTATTACCACCTTAGGGGAGAAATACCCACCTGGAGACACTATAGAATTTCACATCTGTAGGACATTTTCTTTGAGGCTTTTATTTCTGAGATAATCTCTATACCTGTTCAAAATGAAGCATCATGTACATTGGTATGCACAGCACAGGAAAGTGATCTATACTGGATGAATGATCATCTAAACTTACAATCACATCTCCCTACCTGCTTACCTCATCCAAATAATCATCAAATTTCTAAAAACTCAGCAAAACACTAGGCAATTATGAAAGGCCTGATATGGTGTCAGACTTCAAAAGGCAGTTATGCACTTTTACTGTTTTGTGCTTCCCGAAGTCAAGTGACTTCAACACACAACAGAAAAAAGAATAGGATGACAGAATGAAGAAGCGTTAGCATCAAATGAAGAGGCATTTCAATACAATATCTACAAATCATTTTTTGTTTTTCCCAACAAGTTTTCCTTGTATAACAGTACTACCTGTCCTGGAACAACACTTTGTAGACCTGCTGGTCTGAAAATCTCAGAGATACATGTGTGTCTGCCCACAAGTCCTGGGAATAAAGATGTGTGACAATCACACTTGGCTGTCCACTAATCAATTATTTTAAAAAAGGAAACTATGCTCATGAAGACTAGAGTGAAGCTGTCTTTGGGGTACTCATGTGGAGGACATGGGGGAAGAATAGCAAGTGAAGCAAAGCGGTCGAATCACAAACACGCTAATGAACTCAGTAAACATTAGTTTGAGTTGTATGTCAAGGGACTCATTGGAAAAGTAAAAGGTGCATAGATGATGCTGACAGGTACATCAGTGGGTGGTATTGATCTTAAAATCAACAAGTCAGACTAAAAAATACTGAAGCACTCTATATCAGAACATGAAGAATGAGATTCTCCATGTTGAAGATCAATCAGAGAAAGCCCTCCCATGGAGAGTTTGAAGGTGATGTCAGACCCCTTTATTCATGTTTTTAGTCAATCAATAGTCCATGTCACTGGACTATTTATTATTAATCATTAAGAATAATTAATGGAGAAAACAATACCAAAACATAATCTAATTCAATATTCTAAAAACAACATTTATAAGGTTACAGAGAAGATGTTCACCAAGAACCACAGCACTCATGCATGATGGGACAAGTGGGTGCACATGGATTACCTGGTCCTAGAGTTACATGGACTCCCTATTGCCACTTTCCTTTCTCTAACAGAAGATGATGTGAAGAATAAAATATTCAGTATTCTAATTCTAATATATCATAGTTTCTCTGAATTGAACCAGTTCTGGAGAATTCTGGACAGTCTTTCTGGGGCCAAACTGGCTGTCAGTTTTGTTGGTCTAAGTTACTATGCATTCCTGCTTTGTGTCCTAATTTCATGCTGAACTTAACAAAACAGTCAGCTAAATGTTATAAACATGGTAACACAATCATATAATGCCATGAATGGACTTTATCACTTAATAGCAGAGATACTACCCATCTTTAGCCTCAATGACATGAAGAATATGGGCAGAGTACACATGTGTGTATAGAAGAAAATTTCCCCACAATTGCATTTCACAGTTGCTGTGGATATCTGTATTCTGTGAATAGTTACTCTGGTTGGTTAAAAAATAAAGTGCTCATTGGCCAGTAGCCAGGCAGGAAGTATAGTTGGGACAAAGAGAGAGGAGAAAAGAGAGAGGAGAATTCTGGGAACAGGACTGAGTCAGGAGACACTGCCAGCCGCTGCCATGAGAAACAACATGTAAAGATACGGGTATGCCATGAGCCACGTGGCAAGGTATAGATGAATAGAAATGGGTTAATTTAAGATATAATAACTAGATAGTAATAAGCCTACCACAGCCATACAGTTTATAAGTAATATAAGTCTCTGTGTGCTTACTTGGGTCTGAGCAGCTGGAGGAGCCAGGTGGACACAGGAAAATTCCAGGTACACACAGGGTCAGAGTCACAGTTCTTTAGAACTAGAGCTTAAACAATGATGGAACTTCATTTCCAGTATCTGGACTTTGCCTGTATCATTTCAACATTGTTGTCCAAATTTCATGCTGTACCATGTAGAACTGAGATATTGGTAACCTCCTCCCTCCTGCATCCTGCTAGGCTAAAGTCCCAAAGAACAGTCAGGGATGCGAATTATCCTGCCCTGTCAGGGAAGGTCACCTGTAAGGACCTAAAAGGTGCCTTTGTTCTACCTTTCTTATAAAGACTGTGGTCTTGCTTTCTCCAGCACACACTTGGGAGCAACTCCAGAGCCTCTTCCAAGATGCTGGTGGTCCTGCTCACAGCAGCTTTATTGGCCCTGAGCTCTGTTCAGAGCTCAAATGCAGGTATAAAGTAGGGGAGAGGGTAGTAGAGACATGGGACTTGGGCAACACACTGAAGTTCAAGACTGGGAGGAATGGGGGGAAATGACATGCAACCGAGGCAAAGAAATATGGGAACAAATATTAGGACATTTGTATTATCATTTTGCTTGTAGATTTCAGACTGTACATATAGTATAATTTAAGAAAATATTCTTGCCACCAAATAACATGAGTACATTTGTGAAAAAAACCTTTTTGGTGGTGAATGATGCATGACCATGTGTTACAGTTGACAGAGAGAAACTCGGTACTTAAGGTGTTATGAGAAGCAGGTAGTGAATATGCTAGCCTTGGTGTACAGAGGATATAGAAAAATAAGAGAAGTAAATATATATCAGGGATATCTTGGAGAAATAGAAAAATATAATAAATTTGAAACTCTGTTTACAACAAGATATAGATATCAGGAAATAATTGCTTTTAAAAATTATTTCTGTGAATATCTGTGCATGCACCACTGTCTGTGGATGTGCATATGTGTGTGTGTTTGTATGTTTGTGTGTGCAGTGTGTGCAGTGTGAGTGCATGTGTGTGCATTGTGTGTTTGAGAAAAAGAAAGGCAGGTAGTCACACACAAAAAGAGAAACACACAGAGATAGAGACACACGGACACACAGAGACAGAGACACAGAGACAGAAAGAGTGAGAGAATTTGAATGCTTACTCACATTCCTACCTGAGGACAACATATTGGTAATAAGAATTCTCTTTCTATCATGCAATTCCAAGAACTGAATTCCCATTATCAAGCAAGCACTTTTTCCTCACTGAGATATCTGGCTGGACCCACTTCTCTATTGTAAAGACCCAGATGCAATATTCATTGTTATACATGGTTTTTAAAGCAATGTTTGTTTCTATTTCCATGTGTGAAATGACTAGGGATATACCCTGTAAGAAGTGAAGGTCATGAAGAAAACATAAGAATGTGAATACTTGACACTAAATTTCTCTAATGTAAAGGAGACGTAAAATAAGGATTGACACAGCTAACGAGGAACAAAATAATGGTTGCTGCTGCCATGGAGACCATTCTGGCAGCATTATCAGCAACGTTAGCCAAGAATAAAATTCTACATAGTGGATGTGAATCTGTAGTTTAACGTCATCTTTATTGATCATCCAGAGAATGTCATAAGTAACATTTCACTTATTTTGTGCTTCTTTTCTAGCAATCATCTATGGAAACCCTTCTTCTCAGCTCTTAGGTAAACCAGATTCCTCCTCAACTGACTTTCCATGCACCCTTTCTTCTGTAACTATTCTGTTTGTTCTCTAGTATCTCATTATCATTTTGTTATTCTATAAAAATGATGTGTGACAACTTTTCCTAAGATATATAGGAAGACTTCCCAACATTGCCTCTAGGACCTAGAGCAGGGCTTTACAATGGAAGAGTAGAAAGCCAGGTTCTTATAACAGGAACAAATTGAAACAATGGCTTGCATATGGTGAACACATTGAGAGTCCTTATTTAAAACCCTCCATAGCACTGTGGGTTGTTCATAGAATTCTCCTTTCACCAGTGATTTCAAAGAGAATTATGTGATTGCTCATAAGATATACAATTACACAGATCCATGCTCCCCCATTTTTTAAAATTCATTTTTCTCACTCAGTTCAGTCAGCACATTTCACTAACAATTACAAAGACACAGCAAAAAAACTGAATGGAACATCTTTCCATTTCTATTCTACATTTCTTTCTTGTTGGCCACGTGGTTATAAATCCCTAAACACCATGATATATTTAAGAATAGGGCATTGTTGTCACAATTTTTCTATTCTGCCAAGTTCTAACTAATGGCACTAAAAAAAATTTCCCCTTTCTTTACGTCTGAGAATTTTAAAGAACACAAAATCATCTTTTATGCACCAATTTTAAGAACAAATATGTGTTAGAATAGTGGAGACATAAGCAAGTTCATATGATAAATGTGAAAAATAATCTTAAAGGAGAATCAGGGACATAATGTTGCGAGGGTGTTATCAGAGAAAGAGAAGGTATGAACTCATTCTACATTGATCTATACCCAAACAGAGGGAGAACAGCAAAACCAAGGCCATGGTCAACAGCATCAGAGACCCCCTCCTGGAGAATTCCCCCCAGGACCTTCTGCCTCTGAAGAAGATGATGGTGATAATGATGATGACAGTGAAGAAGATGGAAATGCACCAGAGGGACCACCACAGCAAGGAGACAATAACCAGAAACCTCACCCTCCTAGACCTGGAAACCAGCAAGGCCCACCCCAGCAGGGAGGACAGCAGCAGAATAAACCTCCTAAACCTGGAAACCAGCAAGGTCCACCCCAGCAGGGAGGCCAGCAGCAGAATAAACCTCCTAGACCTGGAAACCAGCAAGGGCCACCCCAGCAGGGAGGCCAGCAACAGAATAAACCTCCTAGACCTGGAAACCAGCAAGGCCCACCCCAACAGGGAGGACAGGAGCAAAATCGCCCTCCTAGACCTGGAAACCAGCAAGGCCCACCCCAACAGGGAGGCCAGCAGCAGAATAAACCTCCTAGACCTGGAAAACAGCAAGGCCCACCCCAGCAGGAAAGTGAGGAACAGCAAAGTTACCTGTAGACATTTTCTGCCTAACCAAGATGTTCCTCAGTAGAACAAAGGTAATCAGATACCTCATCCTTCACACCAGGCCCCAAACTCTACAGATCAGCACCCTCCTTCTAAAGAATTAGATCACATATACATCCAAAACTTAAATGGACTCTATATCCTAGAATTCTATGATGGATGTGATTTACCTTCACTCTCCATCAAATGTCTTAACTCTATTAGAATTAGAGAGCCAAAAAAAAAAAAAAGAAGTATCTCAGGATATGATGGTAATGCATGTTATGTCTTTCTTTTTGGCGACTTTTATTTATTTATTTATTTATTTATTTATTTATTTATTTATTTATTTATTTATATTTATTTCAGGTGAATTGGAAGGCATCCCTTAATGTCTTTTCAATGGAACAATGATGTTGTAAGTTTACCTTCAACATTCTAATAAAATATTTAGCATGCAATTACTGTTTACTGTTTCTTATTCTGAGTATGAGTGAGTGAAATCTGGTGCATGTTGCCAAATGTAATGTGAAGATCAACTCGTTCCTTTAGTTACTTAAAAACAAGTGGCCCTTTTCTTCCCTTTACAAGTCAGTGAACTATCACTTGAGAGACCCCCTTGTTTCCATCCCTGGAATTCTGCCCACAGCTTTGCTGTATTTCCCAGATATCTATGATGTTAGCAGGGGACTTCACATAAGACATGGATTTTAAGATTAAACTTTATAAATAGTTTGAACTACACAACCATGCCCATATTAAGTCATGTGCCTTAGTTGAACAGTACCCTAGGGAACAGCTGTCTAGGAGTAACAGAAAAAGGTGATCTATGTTTCTCTTAAGTAACACTCCCCCAGTTCACAGTTTACATGTGAGGAAGTTCCTGTTCCTGCAGCTAGTATCCTTTAGGGCATTCAAGTATCAATCAGCTCACATTCTTCCTCTGATTTGGACAGTCTTATAAATGCAATGGTTTTGTGGGGACATTATGTTCATTTCTTTCTTTGCCTAGAATGTCTGACAGATTTATATGTGAAGTAGTATTTTTGAAATAAAAAGTGAAGATTTTAACTAACATACAAATCTATATACAATAATTACAATAACTATATACAAATATACAGGCAATAGTTACATTAACAACATATACTCCTTTAGCATTTGACAAATTCAAAGAAAATACTCCAGTATCTTTCCTTTCTTGGTGAGTCTAAAATGTTGTACCTAACTCACTATCTATGCTACCTTGGATTACCAAACAAAAACTCTCTTTTATGTCTCTCAACCTTGTACAATTCATACTTCTTTTGTGAGATTCTTTATCTGAATTTGTTAACAAGGAATACTATAACTATAATTATCTATTCTTAACCTCCATCAGAGACCTGAGAAGCATATAATATTACGTGAGTGAACAGGAAGAGTAGACTAATCAAATTCTAAAAATAAGAAATGGAGAGGAGGGGCTGGAGGAGAGAGGACAGAGGAATCCATGGCTGATATGTAAAATTAAATTAAAATAATAATAATAATAATAATAATAAAAGAGCACAAGTTATAGGAAAAGTGTAAACAATGATATAAAATAATGAACTGCTGTTCACTCACTAGGTGAAAAATAGTTCAGTTATTAAGTATTCAAAGATATTGCCATAGCACAGAGACATGTTATAATTTTAAGTAAAATTTCAGACCAAAATGTCTAGTTTCAAAGAAAAGAAAAGGGAGGGAGGAAGGAATGAAGGAAGGAGGTAGATAGGTTAGGGGAGGGAAGGTAAGGACATGCTGAGATGGCTCAGTGGATTAATGAACTTTCCCTCAAGCCTGATGACCTGAGTTCAGTCCTTAGGCAGGATGGCTATAGGCTGTTCTCTAAGCTCCATATATGGGAATGTCATTCACACATATACAACGCAAAATAAATAAATGTAATTAAAATTTTTTTAAATAAAAAAATACCAACTTTGAAAAGAAAAAAAAAAGAAATGATAGAAAGCTGACTGCCTGGACAGCAAAACTTCTTCTGTAATGATGTGGCATCCATCTTTGGCCTACAGGCCTAGAATATCTGACAAATTTATCTGTGAAGCAGTATTTTTTAATGACTGCCCCACCTTCTCTTGGCAAAGTTCTTCAGTCACTTTCCTTTCTGCCCTGCTTGTCCAGTTTGGACAGTGTACTGCCAGCAGTTGGGACAAAGGCACTTTCTTTCCTAGTGGCCAACTTTTGCCACAGAGAAAGGTAACTCCTTATGGAGTTTCTTCAATGCCCATCATCTTCTCTGAAGTAAATTGGTGCTGCCTGGAGTAGAAATGTCTCATTGTCATTTTTAAAAAAAGTATCTTATGTTATCAAAACATTTTAAATGGCATATGCTGTAGGTCTCTGAAGTGTTTGAAGGTCATGTACCTATCTAAAATAATCTCTGGTTGAACTTGAAAACATACCTAACAAGACAACAAGTTTGATTGTAGTAGGTGACTAACTACTGAACTGCATTTCTTCACTATCCTAAATAGTTTTTAATAATCACCTTCATTGATTAGAAATTTACATTACACTGTTGAATGAGCTGTATAGGCACAATACTTTGAACAAGAGTAGAAACATATCTACAGTATGTTCTAATAAAAATAATTAAATTTGTATCAATATACAAAAATCTATACCAATGTGAAATATTTAAAACTAGCAGTTGCTTCTTTGGTTTAACACTAGATTTTCAATATTCTACCTTTTTATCCAATCATTTCTATAACATATACAGAGTATAACAAAAATAATCTTAAATTTGTATGAATATAGAAAATCCAAGCCAATGTAAAATATTGGAGCCTAGTAGTTGCTTTTACGGTTGAAAAGTAGATTCAATAATCTACACTTTTATGCTAGTTCTATATCTTCCTTTTTTTACAATAATATTCTTGAATCTAAATTTCTTTGTTCATCTTTTTTCCTGACCATTATGGGTAACAACTTACAACTTGTAACCAACTCCTTAAATGATGAAAAATAGCCATAGCCCACTGAACAACTCAAAACCACCCACCCCACCTCTGGGCAATGTGCATTTTGTGTTCTTAAATTTACTTCCTGCTCTCTGGGGGCAAGGATACATTTAGGGGACCCTGAAAAAATTTAGATAATTATCAAGTCCTGAGAGAGCTAGCTGTATCATTTGTTGTCCAGTCTTTGGAATGGGAAAGTGCCGGGCTTGTCTCAAGTCCTGGCTAGACTAGTCCGTGAGGCTGGATCATCTCAGTCATTCACCTTGAAATTATTCTGAGTAGTTTGTAGTCCAAAGCCAATATGTAGGTAGTGTTTGTCAGCTTAATGACATTACCATAGTCCAGGTAGAATTGTCATTGTGTAGCCCCATTCTTCTCTTTTGGATACTTTAAAGATCTCTGTTATGCTCTGTTATTCACTGGAGAAAACTTAAACATTTTAAATGTCATATGTAGCAGATTTCAAAGAGGTTAAAGGATCATAATTTGTTATGGTCTTTTATCCAAGACAAGTGTCAGTTCCTCTTTCAAAAGCATCAGAGAGAAATAAAAACAACAGAGTTGACAACAGGCAAACTAGTAATGTCTCCCCTCTAACAGAAAACCATTTTTAAAATTCAATTTCAAAAAATGCATTAATCCTTTGTTGAATGGAATACAGCTAAAAATGATCCCCAATCTCATGAGTTGAATTAATGCCTTGCAGCCTCGATGAATACATATTGCTTCTCTTAGCATCTATTGTATCTTTGAAATCTTTAGTATTATGATAGATATCTTCAAATGTTCAGTCTTTAGAAGGAGCTGTGGGAGTGTAAGTTCATGGAGATTCTGATTGACTTTATAAACTAATAAATAAAGTAAGGAAAACAAAGATGTGAGAGTGATTCAGATAGTGTTCAGTCAGTAAAGTTGTTCTCATGCATTTGGACCCAAATTCAGATGCCTAGCACCCAAGTAACAGCTGGGTACAGCAGTGCATCTATAACTAATCCCAGAACTTAGGGCAGGGGGATGGTAGAGACAGGCAGATCCCTGTTCTCAGGAACAAGCTTAGTCAAATTTATAAGTTCCAGTTCAGCCAGAGACCTACTGCTATTATTCTGATAGACGGACACAGTATTAAATCAACTCATAATGACTTATCATTGCACCCCTAAATCTATCTCCCATTTGCAGCACATAATGATCAATACAGAGACATACATCAATGTTCAATGAATGAGACTGCAGAATATTCAACAGTAAATGGAAGATATGTACCCCCACTCCTCCTCTCCATAGGATCAGTGATCATTGTGGAAGAGAGGGCTATAATAGTGTAAGAGCCAGAGGCCATGGGTGACTATAAAGAAACAGTGTCTTCTGGAAACAAAAGGGCAGCTGCACACAAGAAATGGTAGTGGTTGTGGCAACATTTACAAGACCTGTACTAGCCCAAGTCAGAAGAAATCCTGGATGGAGAGGAGAGTGGGGCACCAAGTCACCCTTATTGGTAATTTTTGGCAACTAGAAGGGGAAGGGTCAATTTTCTCTAAGATAGTCAACCCTTATTTGTCAACTGTTGCAGGATATATTATCACACTGTGAATTCAAGTTTGTATTTATGATGATTAAATAAAATCAATCTTGGGTCAGGAAGCAGAGCCAGCAACTACTTGACAGAAAATAATCACAGAGAGTTAGATGGAGTCCAGAATATGGATAGAAGGATGCATAGGAAGTAGTAGGGTGGGACTTTGAGTATGGTGGTGCTTTTTGGTTTGGAGCTACTGAGATGCCAGTAAAGAGGGAAGGTCAGCTAGTTACTGATCAACCTCTCTGAGCCAGCAGGTTTTCACCCCAGCCTCTGACTCCTGAGGTTTTTACTGCTAAATAGAACTACAGAGATTTAGTTAAAATCTACATTTGATGGCAGTGGCAGGAGGCAGATCTAGCTGGTTGTAGGGCAGCTTTCTGAGAAGTAGGCTAGTAACTGCAGAGCTGTGGTTACTGACTGAAACA